GCCTTACATTTAAACGCTTTCTTTCCATTTCAAATACTTTACATTTCAGAAACTGTTGTACATTTCATGCCTTTATCTTCAAGCTTTTATCATTCGAACACCTTTTTTACTTAAAGTCATTTTACTGTTTTCTTGCATTTAAACGCTTTCTTCATATTTCGAATCTTTTACATTCCAGAGAATCTTTTACATTACATGTTTTTATACTTCGAAGTCGTTTACTTGTCTTTTATGCAGTTTTACATGTCTTTACAATTGAACTTTATTCATGCAATTTAGTTTCGCGCACATTTACTTGATCACGCCTTTAGACCGTTAATAGAGTAATCGAAGTAAGTTAAACACCTACACAACATTCTAAATACCAACCATGAATACCAGTTCTATAATGAGAGTTATCCTAATGACCAATACATCCTAGGATCAATCTAGTCGATCCTGCGAGTTACCAGAGAGATTGAATAACAGTCAGTAAGATTATTCGATAGTTTGGAGGACTAGCGGTTGTTTACCAGAAATCACTGTAAACAGCGCTATTTTAAACATTTTTAAAATAGAATTTAAAATAGAAAATTTTATTTACGATCTATTGAACCCCCATTCTAGTTCGTAGCCTATCGTCTAACAGTCTCACAACTGTGTCTAATCCTGTCGATGCGGTTAGGGTTTTCAGCCATTTTTCTTAAAAAAACATAAGAAAAGAGATTAGTGCATCAGGAAGGAAAGAGTTTGAAGATGTATTTCCAAACACCAGAATAACACATTTTGGAGATACATCTTCGGAAAAAACATTGTTTTTGAGCTTACATGACATAAACATTTTTGTAACTATCCTAGCCAACCAAAACGCCTCCAAATCATGCAAATGATAGAAACAGATCCTACACTTAATCTATTCCATATGCTAATGTTATCAAATGCATTAAAACTAACCTATTTAAGCTAATACATTAATCAAAACTCAAAATAAGCTAAATGAGAAACTTACTCAAAAACTCAAAAATGTGTTAATGAGGGTGTAAAGTGTTGAATGTAGTACTCAGAGGATTTGAGATTGACTAGATACAAGCAAAGATTTTGAAGTTGCTTCAAAATTTGACTTGCACAGAGGTACTCGCGAGCTCAGAGGATTTGCTTTTGTAAACTAAAAATGAAAATGAAGAAGAAGAGAGAAAGAGTCTAGCGCGTTGTTTAAATAGGTATATCTAATTCGGAGATATATCTCTGAAATCATTTAGTTAAAAACACATTAATTAATAAAATGTCCTAGTCATCCTAATTAATAAAAATATCCTAATAAATCTTGTTAGTTAATTAAAAATAATTTTTTACTCTAATCATCTACAAAAATTTCAAAGAAAGTAAAATTGTAAGAGATAAAAATTAGATTTTACAATATGAGGACTAATAATTTAAAACACTTAAACTAATAGGACTTAAAATGCATTTTAAGACAATTATTTTTAACACATTTTTCTTGTTGAGCAAATTATATAACACGTTTACATAAACATATTTATGATTGAATTTTAATTCACCAAAATCACATACATTTTTTGAGCACCACACATGCACAAAGCATATTATCCACTTGTTTATCCCTTGAATAGACAAATTAATCCGTAAAAACGAGGGCATATCATTTTCAAACCTTTTAACATCATCGCAATTCGCAATCGCAACTAAAGAACAAGCCGTGAACTTGCATTGTAACAGAAAACCACACCGCACGATCTCAGATTCACCGATCAAATGGCCACCGTAATCGACGGCAAAGCCGTTGCACAAACTATCCGATCTGAAATCGCCGACGAGGTTCGTCTCCTCTCCCAAAAGTACGGCAAGGTAAGTAACCCCGTCCCTCCTCCGCTTATTTCCCCAATTAATCGCTTAAATTCTCATCATCGTCATCGTAATCACGTTAAGCATTGCAGGTTCCGGGACTTGCAGTGGTGATAGTAGGAAACCGAAAGGACTCTCAAAGCTACGTTGGAATGAAGAGAAAAGCGTGCGCTGAATTGGGAATCAAATCCTTCGATATCGATCTTCCAGAGGAAGCTTCTGAAGCTGAAATTATCAAAAATGTTCACGAATTGAACGCTAACCCCGATGTACATGGTTTGTCAGAATTCCTCTATTAAAAAAGCTTTATATCCATCATGTATGTGCTATGAATCAGATACTCATACACGCTAGTCATGATTTAGGCTTTGTTTGGATTGATGAAATCAGATGAAGTGGTATGAGATGGAATGGAATCTTCATTCCGCTACATTCCACTCTACTCCGCTCCATTCATTTTATGATATCCAAACATAACCTTAAGAAATGAAACTGCATATATTGGTTCATTTGAAGTGTTGATGTTGTATAGCGTATGAGTTACTTTATAAATGAAATCGGTAAAGATAAAGATCCAATTATGCTGAAAAGATATGCCTTGTTATTTAAAGGCTTTTGGTTTGTTGTGTTGTTATATCTGCAGGTATATTGGTTCAACTTCCATTGCCTAAGCATGTAAATGAAGAGAATGTTTTGACTGAAATCAGCCTTACGAAGGATGTAGATGGTTTCCATCCTTTGAACATTGGCAAGCTTGCAATGAAAGGAAGAGACCCTTTGTTTCTTCCCTGCACTCCCAAGGTAAATAAGACTCTTGATTCTGATTTATTTTGGAAATTGGAATGGGCTCAATTCTGTCAATAAGACAATAATTAGATGAATCCCATGCACCTAGTTTTTTTTAATATAGGGTATATGTTCTTAAAAGATGTTAAAAAAGATGATTTTGATGTTTGGACTAGTTAAATTATATGGTATATGTTGTTATAAGATGTTAAGAAAGATGATTTTGAAGTTTAGACTAGTTGAATTACTACCAGGGGGGATAAAGAAGCTACTCCGGTCTATTCAATTATATTTGTTTATCCTTTTAGACAAACTATAGTTTTCATTAAGTTGTCGTCAATTTTGTATTGAATGAAATTTGGTGTAAAATTTATTGGTGGCGGCAATTTTTATTTTTAATGGTCTAAAGCAAAATTTTCAATTATGAGATAGCTTAAGCTGAGACATTGGTGTTTGATGTGAGATTCTTATCCTACTCATGCTAAGAGTAATATATCATAAATATTTGCAAATTTGTGAGTTGGATAAGAAAGGGAAAAAAAAAGGCTTTGCACAAAGAAATAGTAAGATACAACCATCTGTTATCCCTTAAAACCTGGGGGGAGATTGTTGCAATTTATGAATTTCCCTAGTTTTGATTTTAACAGCTCATGCTGATCAAGAACGTACAATTACAAGTTAGCTTTTGTACAATTTTCTTGAAATCGTGTATCTTATTTGCATATGCTACTTGTATACAGGGATGTCTTGAACTATTATCACGAAGTGGTGTAAGTATAAAGGGGAAAAATGCTGTTGTGGTTGGTAGAAGCAACATAGTTGGCTTACCAGCTTCATTGCTTCTCTTGAAAGCAGATGCTACAGTTACCATTGTTCATTCACACACAAGTCAACCAGAAAATATCATACGTGAAGCAGATATTGTTATTGCAGCAGCAGGACAGGCAAAGATGGTATAGCTTAACAAATTTTACTTTATCTCCATGTCTATTATGCATCTATGCAGTTTTTGTCAACTTTCAAATTTAGATGGTTCTTCTCTTGATCTTAGTTTTTTACTCAATATTGCTCTCACGACTCCTGAACACTTTAAACTTAGAAGATATTGCCTTTAACAACGTTGGTATACAATACCAGTCTGCAAACAATTTTGAAAAAAAAATTTGATATTCAGGGCCTCATACTCCATCGAATATATCTACTGTTCATCGTCTTCACTAATATAAAGTTCGTTTAATTCATAATAATATATTTTACTTTGTTTCTAGATCAAGGGAAGCTGGATAAAACCTGGAGCTGCAGTGATAGATGTTGGCACAAATTCTGTTGATGACCCAACTAGGAAATCAGGTTATCGACTTGTTGGAGATGTAGATTTTGAGGAAGTATCTAAAGTTGCTGGTTGGATTACTCCTGTTCCTGGTGGTGTGGGTCCAATGACAGTCACAATGTTGCTAAAGAATACCTTGGAGGGCGCTAAACGCACCATTGAGCAGAATAACTAAATATTCCTTTAGTTTTAATAAATAGGAAGTTACTCTTCATTTGAGAATCAATTTCTGCTGATAGATTAATGTATTTTTTATAAAACTGTAAGAATTGGTATTTAAAGTTGTTTTTGGTTCTTCTCGTTCATTATTATAGCTTATCCCACTTGTTGTAACCATGTTCTATATATGTTCTTGTAGAATTGTATTGGAATGTCCTTGATTCTTCCAAGGCTTCAGAAGTATGTTATCTTTGGTTCACCAAAACAAGGGAACTTACTTCTACATGTACATACATATTTAATTTTTTGTGCACTACACAACACAATCATGTAGTTTTAAGTTGAATGAATAGACATGCAAAAAGATAATTATTGAATGATGAGAGACGTAGAGAGAGAGAGAGAGAGAAACATAATGGACATATGTGAGTTACAGAAGTAAGAAAAGGAATAGACAGTCAGGTATAGCGACAGACAGAAGCAAGGACGTCATTACTTGCTATTTCACCAACTTTCCATATGACATTAGGATCGAAGATATGGAAGGTGTATTTTCACAGTACGGAAAATTGGTTGATCTTTTCATTCCTAAGAAAAATAACAAGGAAGTAAAACGTTTGGAATTCGCAAGATTGGTTGGAGACTTTAAGAACAACTGAAGAAGGTCTGGTTTGGAACATATAAATTATGGGCTAACATATCAAGATTTGACAGAAGTGGAGGTGAGATAGGTACAAAGCTAGATAAACGATATATAAGAATACCAAGTCAAACCGAGAAAGAGAAAATAAGGAATTATGGAAGAAAGGATGATTACTATGGAAGGGTGAGGAAAGTTCAGCATGCTGCGGAGAAAAGAAAGCATGGATACAGCTATGCGCAAATGGTCAGAGGGAACATACAGGGGGCTGAGAATGGAGTAAGTAAGGAGTACGAGGAGACTGAGATGATGAAGAACGAGCAACATGTGGGAAAAGGGATGAAGATCGATGAAGAGGAAGGGTGGAAGGGATTGAAATACACGGCAAAGGAGGAGGACATGAATTGGGCAAAGAAGGGATTCGTAGGAAAAGTCCATAATAACGATGAAGTATCACTCTTACAGCAAAAAATAATGGATGTGGGAATATTTTCACTAGAAGTTATTCCAACGGGAAGAGATAAGGTATTCTTAAAGGTGCATGAAGATGAAGATATGCAGTCCCTGATAAATGATGCTAAGGAATTTTTTCAACATTGGTTTGTAAAGTTAGATGAATGGTACCCTGAGGCGGTAATGAAGGATAGATACACTTGGATCAGAATATACGGTATACCCGTTCATGCGTGGAATAGAAGTTTCTTCGAGAAGTTATGTGCCACCATGGGGAAATTGATTTCGGTTGACAAAGTCACAGAAGAAAAGAGGCGGTTTGACTTTGCCAGGTGCCTAGTTAGAACCATATCCATGGAGACTATTAACAAACTAGTTAGAGTAATGGTCAACGGACGCATCTTCTTAATGAAAATGGTGGAGGAAGCATTCACATGACCACTATTATTAGTGGAAAACAAGCAAGTGCTCTTGAACGTGTTTTAATTAGCTGTCATAGCTGTTAGTATTTGTTTCTAAAATGTAGTTAATAATCCCTGAAGAGATAAGTGGATTGAATTAGTCATTCCACTATTCACATTTAGTTAGTTAGGTCATTTTATTTTAGTTGGTTTTATTTCTTGTAAGGCTATATTAAATAGCCACTCTTTTGCAGCATAATAAGATAAAGAATTCTCTTCTGTTTTGCCCAAACAATTGTGGTACCAGAGCTTCTCACTGGGCTTGGTGATTTGGGAATTTGAGAGCTAAGAAACTACAGTTTTCTTAGAAAGAGTAAACATTTTAGTGAGTGAAACACAAAGAGACTAAATGTGAGAGAAACCCAGATTTTGAGAAGAGAACAAATATGACAACAGAGAACAATTTTGTTCAACCTGCCATACCTAGATTCGATGGTCATTATGATCATTGGTCTATGTTGATGGAAAATCTCTTGAGATCAAAAGAGTATTGGAGCTTGGTGGAAAGTGGTATTCCAACTGTAGCCGCAGGAATTCAACCAATAGAACTGCAAAGCAAGACAATTGAGGAAGCAAAGTTAAAGGATCTTAAAGCAAAAAACTACCTTTTCCAAGCTATTGACAGAAATATCATGGAAACAATTTTTAACCGCGACAGGACCAAGGATATTTGGGACTCGATGAAGCAAAAATATCAAGGGTCCACGAAGGTGAAGAGAGCTCAATTGCAAGCTCTCTGGAGGGAGTTTGAGGTGCTCGGCATGAAAGATGGAGAGAAAGTGGATGAATATTTTTCTCGAACCTTATCCATTGCCAACAAAATGAAGACACATGGAGAGTGCATGGATCAATTGGTGATCGTGGAGAATATACTAAGGTCTATGACTAGACAATTTGATTATGTTGTGGCTGCCATAGAGGAATCCAACGACCTCAACACAATGACTATCATTGAACTTCAAAGCAGTCTACTTGTTCACGAGCAGAGAATGCAATCCCACATTAAAGAAGAACAGGTGCTGAAAGTGGCATTTGATGACAGTGCTGGAAGGAAAGATGGTGACCAGAATGGTGGAAGAGTTCGAGGAAAAAGAGGCTTTAGAGGCCGAGGAAAAGGCCGGGACAGACAAAAATACAACAGAGCATTAGTTGAGTGCTACAAGAGTAAAAAATTGGGGCACTTTCAATATGAGTGCCTCGATTGGGAGAAGAATGCACACTATGATGAATTAGATGAAACATAAGAGATGCTCCTAATGGATCATGATGAGTGTAATGATGAGAAGAGTGTTGAGATTTGGTTTCTTGACCCCGGATGCAGCAATCACATGACAGGAAACAAACAGTGGTTCACAGACATAGATCAGCAATATTAACAATCAGTTAAGCTCGGAAACAACTCAAAAATGGTTGTAGTCGGAAAAGGTAATATTAGATTGCATGCTAATGGAATTACACAAGTAATCACTAATGTGTATTATGTTCCTGAGTTAAAAAACAACTTGATTAGCATTGGACAATTGATAGAGATGGGAGTTTCTGTTTTGATTCAAAATGGTGAATGTCGTTACTATCATTCAAAGGAAGGTCTGTTTTTGCAAACGAAGATGTCAACAAATAGAATGTTTTTATTTCATGCAACCCCGACGTCTCAAGTTTCAACATGCTTTAAGACTGTCTCGGAAGATGAAACACATCTTTGGCACTGTCGTTATGGCCATCTAAATTTCAAGGGACTGGAAACTCTTCAATCTAAGAAGATGGTAACAGGGTTGTCGAAAATAAAGAAAATGAAAATTCAGAAGGTGGAGAAGAAATGGGCTCTTCTTCAAGTAATTTATCAGCAGAGACTCTAGAAGAAGGAAGGGTGAAATGACCACCAGTATGGATGAAAGATTATGTGAGTGGAGAAGGGTTTTCAGATGAAGAGGAGACACAAAATTTTGTGATGTTTGCTATAACATTTGATCCAACTACATTTAAAGAAGCTTCAAAAGTGAGAAATGGAGGACTGCTATGAATAATGAGATAGATGCAATAGAGAATAATAATACTTGGGAGTTGAATCATTTACCTTCAGGTGCAAAAACTATTAGCCTCAAATGGATTTTTAAAACAAAGTTGAATGAGAATGGAGAGGTTGAAAAGTACAAGGCTAGAGTTGTAGCCAAAGGATACTCTCAACAATATGGAGTTGATTACACTGAAGTATTTGCACCGGTGGCTAGATGGGACACCATTCGAATGATAATCGCTCTTGCTTCCCAAAAAGGATGGAACGTGTACCAGTTAGATGTTAAAAGTGCTTTCTTGCACGGCGAGTTGAATGAAGAAGTTTTTGTTGATCAACCACAAGGTTATGTGAAGAAGGGTGATGAGTTGAAGGTGTATAAATTGAAAAGGGCATTATATGGCCTTAAACAGGCACCACAAGCACGTTACAACCGCATTGAAGCCTATTTCACAAAGGAAGGATTTGAGAGATGTCCATATGAGCACACCGTGTTTGTGAACCTAAGTGAAAGAGGTAATATTCTCATTGTTAGTCTTTATGTTAATGATTTAATATTCACTGGTAATGCTGAGAATATGTTTAAGACGTTTAAGAAGTCTATGGAGAAGGAAATTAACATGTCAGACCTTGGTAAGATGCACTATTTCCTTGGAATTGAAGTAATTAAAAATGAGGAAGGAATTTATATTTGTCAAAGGAAATATGTATTGTTTTGTTAGAAAGGTTTGGAATGGAGAAAAGTAATTTGTCTAGGAATCCTATTGCTCCTAGGTGCAAGTTGATTAAAGATGAAAAATGGTGTGAAGGTGGATTCTACAAAGTATAAGCAAATTGTTGATTGTCTGGTGTACTTAGCAGCCACAAGACCTGATCTAATGTATGTGTTAAGTCTAATTAGCAGGTTCATGAATTATCCAACTGAGCTACACATGCATGCAGTAAAAAGAGTACTCAGATATCTTAATGGTACAATAAATTTGGGGATTATGTATAAGAGAGATGGAAGTGAGAAGCTGGAGGCATACACATATAGTGATTATGCAGGTGATTTAGATGATAGAAAAAGTACTTCCAGATATGTTTTTATGCTCAGTTTAGGTGCAGTCTCATGGTCGTCTAAAAAGCAACAAGTGGTTACTTTATCAACAACTGAAGCAGAATTTATTGCAGCTGCATTTTGTGCTTATCAAAGTGTTTAGTTGCGAAGAGTTCTCGAAAAACTTGGTCACACTCAATCTGGAAGCATCACTGTGTATTCCGACAACAACTCAATAATAAAGCTTTCAAAGAATCCAATGCTTCATGGTCGTAACAAACATATTGATGTTCGCTTCCACTTCCTCCGTGATCTTTCCAATGATGGAATATTAGAGCTAGTTCATTATAACTCTCAGTATCAAATAGCAGATATCATGACAAAGCCATTGAAGTTGGAAGTATTTGAGAAGCTACGTGAACTGCTTGGAATGTCTTTTATACCTGATACATAAACTAATTGCAATAGTGCAAATAGTTTAAGGGATGGAATGTTGAACGTGTTTTAATTAGCTGTCATAGTTGTTAGTACTTGTTCCTAAAATGTAGTTAATAATTCCTATTTGTTAGGAAGAGATAGATGGATTGAATTAGTCATTCCATTATTTACGTTTAGTTAGTTAGGTCATTTTATTTTAGTTTGTTTTATCTCTTGTAAGGCTATATTAAATAGCCACTCTTTTGTAGCATAATAAGATAGAGAATTCCCTTCTGTTTTCCCTAACAAGTGCATACAAAAGAATCAGACGAGGAGCCTTCAGATGGATCATAGGCGGAGGACGATGAGTACATCCAAAGATTAGTGGAGGAAGATGAAATGGTAGATCAAGAGTTGAAAGAAAAATACGAGGCAATAATGGCTCTCAATGATGAGGGGATTATCAAAGCAGGAGACTTGAATGCAAGGGCGGCCATGAAGTTAGAGCATCCACATTCATCATACCCATTTGAGTTCTTTAAATGGGACCCACATAATTTTTTATATTATTTCACACTTCTCAATTTTTAAAACAACTCATATACAATTCTCAAACATCCATGTAACTCATCAAAAAAATCTAAAATGGGTCTCACATTTAAAACAAATCAACTACATTTTTGTAATTTTATTTATTAATTTATTATCATGACCCACTTAATTGGAGTGTAGAAGCGTGTTTTAGTATGATGATGTGTTTTAGTTCATGAACGTGAAAACAAGTGAAATATCCATTTATTATTGTTTACCGTGGAAATTGGTAAACAACCGCTGATCTTTCAAAAGGTTACTTATTTGGTGACTCCCAGGATCGATCAGATTGATCCTAAGACATGGTTGATTTTCTGGGGTTTGACTAAACCTAATGATGATTAATGCCAGTAAAGTAAAGACACTTTATGTAAATTGCATGAAGAAAAACTTGATAGAATAAATGAAAGCGTTAAATAAAAGGCTTCGACAGAGATGAGTAAATGAAAGGCAATAAAGTGCTTGAATATAAAAGACTTGGATTAATTTAAATGGTGTTTCACACATACATTCTCAACAATTCTTTCGCTCACACTGGGTACTTGAATCTAGATGAGTGACTTGTATATAATGATGAACACACGCGAAAGATACGTGAACAACTAGTATTTATACTAAACCACATCTTAAGTAACCGTTGGACAGTTACGTCGCTTCGAGATGACGCCACATGGCACGCTCACAGCATTCGACGCTCCTGATCTTGGCACGTTGCGTTTGGTAACTGCTGGGAACTGTTTTCCCTCCAAACATTCGAATCTCAAACCGTTCCACCCTGGGCATCAGATACCTTTATCGAGAAGTTCCTTCGACGTCGAAGGTAACAAGATTCCCACTTAAAAGAAACTCTCTAAGTACCTTGCCATTTTCTGATGAGCATTCGACGGGATCAGCTGGTCGAAACCTGGAAACTCTTCAAACTCATAATTAATGATCTATATTGATAACAAACAAGGGTGTCGAATTTAGGAGCCAACAAATTGCCCCCCAAGAATGCCTTATTTCGACGCTGAAAAGAAAAAGGCATTCTTTGAGACTCCACCCGACACATGTCCTTCATTCTTAGCCACAGATTAGCTCGTGCGCTTTTCGTCTCCTACCAACCAACTGACAATCCCAAAAATCCATCATTCCAACTGTTCCTAAGACGTCACTTCAGTAAGGCGTTTGGCATGTCCAATGTCTTTTCACAGATTGTCATCATGACAATTCCCCGAAATCGAGGACGCACGCTGCACCGTTTCCGTTCTGCAGAACGACTACATCAGCAAATGAGCGCCACGTGCCCCACTATTGTCTGAAACATTAAATGACCTCGAGTTTTGTGATTTTCCAATCACTATAAATCGCGCTAAGTGTCCCTCGTGGGACTTTTCACGCTCTCTTCCTCCAAGCCTTAATATTGAACAGGAATTTCTGCAAAAAAACTTTGTTCTTCATCCATCTTCATCTCAACCCAAAAATGGCTTCAGGTTCTCGTTCTTCCAATGTCCCCAGTTCTAACACTCCCTCTAAAACTGCCCAACCGAAAATCTTTTCAACTGTTCCAACAGTTAACTCCAAAGGAATGCGAAGGGTTCCTGAACCCTTGGGAACTGCTGAGCGTGAGACTTACTCTTCTCAACTGCTGATTCCTGTTGGATACTCCAACCAGGTTTTCGCCATGTCTGGTCCTCTATCTGCATGCATTGCTGACTCAACGAAGATCAAGAGTTTCTTCCCGGTGCTTGAGGCACTCAAGCCCGTTGGGTGCTCCAAAAAGGCTACAGACGACAACGAAGATCCTGCAAAAGAAAAGATAGATCTTCGTTTCTTCAACAGAGGGGTTAGGGATTTTAGATCTAGCCCTAGCCTTACACCAGACTACAACGCTTGGCTCGACAAGATGTAAAAAAGCCAGGCTTCGATTTGGAAGAACATGGGGATTTATGACTTAGTCATGCTGTCGAAGACTGATCTCAACTACTCCCCTGAAATGCTGGTAGCTTCTTTGCTATTTTGGGACTATACTCACTTCACCTTCCATCTGCCTTGTGGAATGGTAACACCCACTCTCTTCAACGTGGCTGCCATTACCGGTCTTCGACCAACTGGGGATTACTTTGACCCAGAGGAAATGTCTGAAGACCAGATTGGGTTTTCAGCTACCAAACCCACTTACACCACCTACATCAACCACTATCATGACAAATCGACAGCTAACGTGACGGACGTGGAGCACATTGCGTTTCTAGCCCTTTGGCTGTCACGCTTCGTGTTCTGTACGAAATCTCTATAGGTGACGAAGAAAATGGTCACCCTTGCTACCCAGCTTCACCACGGTCAAAACATCTGTTTGGCCGAATTAATACTGGCGAACCTATATGAGTCGATAAGCAGTGGGGCAACTCTATTAAAGGTAATAGAAAATAGATCCAGCTTGTTGCTTGCAGGACCCTTCTGGCTACTACAACTATGGCTAAACGCCACTTTTGAGTCTTTTTTACCTCAGAAAACTCAAATAAACGAACAAGCTCCTGAGATAGCCAAAAGGCGCATCGAAGGTACCAGGCTGGCTTTACTGACTCCCACTGAGGATGGGCTGGAACTCCAACAGACCTTTGCAAACTTCGTTTTTATGTTTGCAGGGAGGAAAGAATTTACCTCGACCATGGCTCCTTTCGCCCGTCGAAAGTTTGGTCCAGGGTGGTTCACCAGGCCCCATCCCAAGTCATTAGAGGATCCTCATCTCGAAGAGCACACAACACTGTGGGAAGCATTTCTCACTCCCAGGATAATTCCATTGCACTTTAAAAGTTCCAAGAATCATCTGAGCCTGATTGCTTATCAGCCAAATTTGGTCTCTCGACAGTTTGGTATCATCCAATCACTTCCTTCTCCCATTTTCCCTAGGGAGAAATCAATGTTGTATTTTTGTAATGATTACACTGAGGATGATGCTACCAAGCACATTGGTAGGTACGCTGGTCGGACAGTACTTTCATTGTTCGACTACCAACTCAACTTCCTCTGTTCACCATCTTTTGAAGACTGGTGGAAGAGTTATTATGCTGAAGAATTCTTCGATGAAAAAGACTTTGTGGACGAACTCCAGAAGTCTTTCGTTTTGGTCCTTGACAAAATAAAGAAATGTACGTTCACTCTTCAAATTATATTTGTCTTTCCATTTCGACTTATAACTTGTCAATTATAACTTGTGAACGCGTCTTCTTTCAGTTGTTCGAAAACCTGCAGCAAAGAAAACCACAGAAAGCCATCAGGGAGGAGGTCCCTCTACAAAACCTTCAGCACCGGTAACCAAACTTTTATTATTTCCTGCTGGTTTTAATATCCTGTTACGATGTGGCGTTCTAAATCAACTTTATTTGGGGTTTCAGGAACCTGCACCTAAGAAACGACCTGCATTAACAGTCGAATCTGCGAGTGACGACGAGGATGAATCTCCCCCTGTTCCTCTCAAACGGAGAAAGCTGAAGAAAGATGCCCCTGCTCCTGAGCCTCGACCTATGATCAGAATCAAGGTTGCATGGAGAAAATCCAGGCCACCTCCTGTGATCATCGAAGAGCCTACGGAGGAGGAGCTGAACGTCTTGCTCAGCAAACCCGTTGAAAGTGATAATTCTAGCCCTGGGGCTGAAATTCCTCTACAGGTAGTACCTCTGACTATTTTTAACTTAGGTGTCGACGATCACGTTCGATTGTGTATCTCTCTAAACCAGAATATTCTTCCTCTTCTATTTTCAGGAGACCACCGAAAGTTCAGCACCAAAAACTTCAGAGACACAAGACTCTGCTGAACATAGTAGACAACCAGAGGAGGAATTGGCGAACGATGAAGCCCTTGCCGAAACAGAGGAACAACAACCAAAGGAAGCTCAAGTGGTCGATTTGACAGAGGAGCAACATGACGAAGAGGAACATGTTGATGCTGACACTACTGAATAACCTGTCGAAGAGGGTCATGCTGATGCTGACGCTACTGAACAACCTCAACCCCAAGCCACCGCTGCTGTAGGAACGACCACCTCGACAAAGCCCAAGTCTAAAGAAGACTTGGCCCTTTTGAAGCAAACTGATCCAATTGGCTACCTGAATGCCATCATTGAGAGTAGGGAGAATTCATCTGACCTTAGTCATGATGCTTCTACTGCATCG